CAAGTATTTCAAGATGAAATGAAATTAGGTTTGTACATTGTAATTGAAACCACTTTTAACTTGGATTGTGCTGGGTTTTTTATCACAAGGAGTCCACAGCCCATCTTTTAATTGGGGGAAAAGACATTAAATACAGGAGAGAGTGACAGGAAGACTGGGCATCAGGTGGCAGCTGGGACTCTTCTTGGAAGCTCCTACTGCCTTCCACAGTGAGCAAAAACTGAGCACACATCAGCTTCTCACTTTTTCTAGCTTGTGGGGGATCACATTGACTGAAGAGAGTGTCTTCAGAGAGACACCTTCACTGCACAGTGAACTCTGCAGCCTCCATGGCCGAGCTCCAAGCAGAGGCCAGCTGCCCCATCTGCCTGGGTTACCTGAGAGATCCAGTGGCCATTGAGTGTGGGCCCAACTTTTGTGACTCCTGCATCCAACAGTGCTGGGAAGATCTACTGGGCATCTTTCCCTGTCCTGTCTGCCTCCACCACTGTCCTGACAGGAACTTCAAGAGGAACACCCAATTATGTCACATGATTGATATTGTTAAGCAGATTCCCACCAGGGGAAGCCAGAAGAAACTGCAGGGGGAAAAATCCCTGTGTGAGAAGCACAATGAGGTTTTGACTCCTTTTTGTGACAAGGCTCTGGAGCTGTTGTGTCCCCATTGTAAGGTCTCCTTAGACCACCAGGACCAGGCCCTGGTACCCATTGAGGAAGCTGCAGCTCGTCACAGGAGGAAGCTCAAAAGCTACATTGAGCCCCTGATGGTGGAGGTTGAAGATGCTGAAACGGAATATGAAAACCAAATTGCAAAAACTTTTGAAGTACAGAAAAAGATGGAAAATTGGAGGAGGGAATTGCACTATGAATGTAAAGAACTTAAGTGTTCCTTAGAAGTAGAGCACGATGAAATTAATGCCAGCCTACTTACAGAAGAGAAGGATGTTGAAGAGAAACTAACTGAAAATGGAAGGCAAATTTCAAACCATATGTTCATGCTAAATAATCTGTTAAGTGAAATAGCAGAGAAATATTTGCAGACAGACCTGGATTTACTCACAGGTATTGAAAGTATCCACAACAGGTATGAAAACCTAGAGAGCCCAGCAGTCTTTACATATGAATTAAAGAAGGAGAGTTGCTCTCTCCACCCACATTATTTTGGTCTGCATAAAATGATCAGCACATTTCAGGTAGATTTGACCCTGGATCCTGAAACTGCCCATTCAAGTCTCATCACAAGAGATAGAAAAGGTATGACATATAGGACACCTGATGGTCTTTATAATTCCCGGCACTTACTTTTACCCAGCTGTCCTAAGTTCTGAGGGATTTGATGCTGGCAGGCATTTTTGGCAGGTAGAAGTAAGAGGCACAGGTGAATGGTCCTTAGGTGTGTGTAAAGAATCTTCCCTCAGAAATAGTCTTATATCACCATCCCCAAGCAATAGCTGCAGACACATTGAGCTTTGTGCTAGTATATGTGGAACATGCCCTAGAGGACATGCCATGTGGGTTGGCATTTTTCTGGACTATGAGTTGGGAGAGGTTTCATTTTATAATTTGAATAACAGGTCATACTTGTATAGACTCACTGATATGTTTACAGAAAAACTTATGCCTTATTTCTCTAGTGCACCTTCTTCAATCAGTATCAGAGACGAATGATGAACAACTTAGAGGAAATTTAGTATGTGGTTATTTTCTTCCCTTGTTATTGGAAGGAATGCTTGTAATACAGATTCTGATTCCAGTTTTGATGTTTGACTGTTGAAAGCTTTTAGGACTCACCCTTCTCTCCTCCCTTTACCTTACGCCTGGGAAAGCTGAGAAAGCCTTTGGTGCAGGTGGGAGGTTCCAACCAAGCAAACCCCTAGTTGTGCCAGCAGGCTCCCACCAACAGCACCCAGTAACCACCATAAACAGCACAAAGTAGTCCATTTTCTCAGTCATTTTGGGACCTACTCTGAGATCCACCCTATTCTCCCGCCAAAACCTCATCATGTGAGTAATAAACTTTTTCATATTCTTCTGGAATGTGATGAGTCATCCTCAGTCGTAACATTTGAAACAAATTTTGGATGAGTTTCATCCTGACTATGTAACCTGATCACCACCATTGGCATTGTGAGCAGGATTATCCAGATGTGAAGCACCCCCACCAGGGGTTTCTCCTCTGGCTTTGTGTTGTAATAGGCTCTGGTTCCTTAGGCAAGGGTGCCCTTTCAGCTTTGTGCTGCATTTGCTGAGTTCTACCGAGGCTATGTTGTAGATTTAACTGACCTAAATCAGAAGTTTTGATAAGGAACACATTCTATTTACTTTTTATTATTTTTCATATAAATTTTTTGGAATTCTCATTGTTTTGCTTTTGTCTCATATTTTATAAAGTCGTTTTCATATACAGGAGTGAGCAAAAGTAAGTTTAAAGTAGTGGTACAAATAATACAATAATTAATAAAAATACAAGAATAAACTATTTTGAGTACTGTAAACTTACTTAAAAAAAATCCTCACCTGAGGATATGTTTATTGATATAGTGAGAGAGGAAGGTGGGGGAGAGAGCAAGAAACATTGATGTGAGAGAAAAACATCAATCGGTTGCCTATTACTGACTGGGATCTAACTGAAACCTAGGTATGTGCCCTAACTGGGATTTGGATCTACAAACTTTTTGGTGTATTAGACCACACTCCAACAAACTGAACCACCCAACAAGGGCTGTAAACCTACCTTTGACAACCCCTGTATAACCTCCAAACATCACCTACTAGTTTTAACATTATGTGAAATTGCCAGCATTTTATTTTATTTTTCCTTTCTCATTTCCTTTACTGATTTTTTAAATTTTACTTATCTTTATTGTTGAAAGTATTACAGATGTCCCCCTCCTACCTCTTTACCTCCTTTCACCCCAATCCTGCCCCCTCCTCAGTCCTTTACCTATTGTCTGTGTCCATGGGTTGTGCATATATGCATATAAGTTCTTCGGTTAATCTCTTCCCATGCCCCAACCCTCCTTCCCTTGAGATTTGTCAGTTTGTTGCATGCTTCCATGTATTTGCATCTATTTTAGAACATGCTTCTGTTTGGAAGCCTGTATGTGTATTGCTTACAATGTTTGGAAATAAAGTTTTACTTTGGAAAAAAAAAAATAATAATGATGAGAGTCATCGATTGGCTGCCTCCTGCACACCCCTTACTGGGGATCAAGCCTGAAACCCTGGCATGTGCCCTGACTGAGAATCGAACCATGACCTCCTGGTTCGTAGGTCAATGCTCAACTACTGAGTCATGCCAGCCAGGCAAGTTTTATGGTTTATTGAAATAAAATCTCAGTCAACAATCTGATTTTTTTGAACAATAACCAGTTCCCAAAAATGTAAGGATAAATAACAATGCTGTACCAAAGTGACTTAAAGACAGATGTTAATAACATTAGAGACTAAAGATGTTGATTTAGTTGTTTTGCAGGAATCAAGAAACTAACTGAATCTAGAGATAGTGTGGGGTAAAGACTTAAGTCTACAATAACAGGAGAAGACTCCTTAGATACCATGTCAACACAGAAGAACTGAAGCAAGAGTCCTGTAAAACTGTCCTTTATACTAAATCACCAATTCCTTTATCAGATTTAGAATCACTTAGTTCTAAATCACTTAGTTCTCCCTTTGCACATAAAGCCTCCTTTCAAATCTCTTGGGGAGACAAATTTGGGCTTTCTCGCTGTGTTCTAGTTTGGCTGCCTCTCAAAAATAAACTCTTTACTTGCATACTCATTGCTTTAGTGGTTGGTCTTAATGTGCATCGGGCATATAAACTTGCGTTCCATTATAATCCTCATGGGCACCACCCATACCATGACTCTCTGCAGGGACCCTGCCCATGCCACAACTCTGCCAGGCAGGAGTCATTCTGCCAGGGCTCTGCTGGATGGGAGTCTCACTCCCATGGCTTTGGTTGGAGGCAATCTGGCCTGCTGAAACTAAGGTAATGGCCTTGATGGTCTCTGAATCACCTTTGGGGTCATTAATCATTCTTCCCTTTTCTTGAAGAACAGTGCCCGCTCCCAACTGAATAGCTTTATGGTCCTGTACTGGCAAGTCTAAGAAGTACAACATTTTCCCTTCATTTTATCCTGTCTGTCCCTTTCAGTTCAAAATGCCAGTTCCTGCTGATGTGGCTGATAAGGTCCCTGGTTCACAGCCATACTAATCTTTTTATCAAATGTATGTCAACCCCACACTTGGTGTTCTCTTCAGAACATGCTTTCTCATTTTTTGTAATATGGACAGGCTGAGAACTTTCCAAATCTTTAAATTCTGGTTCATTATTGCTTAACAATTTCTTCTTTAATTAATTTCTGTCTGCTTGCATTTTACTACAAGTAGTCAGGGAAAACTGAGCTGTTCCTTCAACACTTTGTTTGGAAATCTCCTCAGCTAAATATCCAATTAATTGCTCAAAAATTCTACCTTCCACCAAACACTATAAGGTGAACAAAATTTAGTCGTTATTTGACACTTTATGACAAGCACTGCTTTTTCTCCATTGTTCAATAACATATTCCTCATTTGTATCTGAGACATCATCAGAATGGCCTTTATTCTCCATATTTCTACCAAGATTATGTACATGAGAAGAAGGAAGCTTTCTCTCCAACTCTTTTTCCTTTCTGAACTCTCACTAGAATTGCCTTTAGCATTCCTTCATGGCAATATTGTTTTTTTCTATCTTGTACTTCAAAATTCTTCCAGCCCTGACCCATTATTTAGTTTCAAAGCCTCTTGCACAGTTTTAGGTATTTTTTTATGGCAGTACCCTACTTTTCAGTACCAAGTTCTGTCTTAGTCAGGTTGGGCTACTATTAAAAAATACCATAGTCTGAGTAGCTTATGAGACATAAATTTATTTCTCACAGTTCTGGAGGCTATAAAGTCCCAAATGAAAGTTACAAAAGATCTTGTCTGGTGAAGGCCTGCTTCCTAGCTTGTAGTATCACTGTATCTTCCCATGATAGTGAGAGAGAGAGAGAGAAAGGGAGAATGAAAACCTTCTGGTATCTCTCCTTATAGAGACACTAATACCATCCATGATCATGACCTAATTACCCCTCAAAGGCTCCATATACAGGATGGGGGAAAAGCACATTTACAGTTGTGAGTACTTGGAACAAAGAGTTAATTCTTATATTATTATTTTCAATATGAACAACCGTTATATAATAAAGTAGGTTTTCTGAATGCATATGTTAAAAAATTGACAAATTCGTTAACCTATTTTTACTTATGTAAACACGTTTGTGTAATTACAATTAAATATGCATGAAAAGTTTAATTTCACACAAAAGTTTTCTATATATATTCCAGTAATTTTAAATTTATACTGAATAGGTCTAGTAAATGCTTGCATTCACCAGTCACATCAAGTAAACAAATACACATGGCTGGGGCATGGCTTAGTGCACTTCCGAACATCTTTTGTTTCCCTTGCCCAAGGAGATATATCAGAAAAAATATTGCTATGAAAAATGTCTGAGATTTAACTGCCTGTTTTTTCTAAGATTTTTATGGTTTTGAGTATAACATTGAAGATGTTAATCCATTCTGAGTTTATTGTTGTGTATGGTGTAAGAAGGGGCTCTAATTTCATTTCTTTGCATGTATCTGTTCAATTTTCCCAACATTATTTAGTTGAATAGACTATCTTTACCCCATTGTATGTTCTTGCCACCTTTGTCAATTATTAATTGACTATTAAAGCATGGGTTTATTTCTGGGCTCTTTATTCTGTCCCATTGGTCTATATTTATCTGTTTTTATGCCAGTATCATGCTGTTTGATTGCTATGATCTTGTAGTATTGTTTGATATCAGGTAGCATGATTCCTCCAACTTTGTTCTTCTTTCTCAGTACTGCTGTGGCTACTCAGGGCCTTTTGTGGTTCCATATAAAATTTTGGAATATTAGTTCTAATTTTGTTAAATACACTATTGGTATCTTGATAGGAATTGCATTGAATCTATAGACTGCTTTGGGTAGTATGGACATTTTAATTATGTAGATTCTTCCTATAGGTGAACACAGTATATGCTTCCAAATATTTGTATCTTCTTCAATGTCTTATAATTTTTGAGTACAGGTTTTTTACATCTTTGGTTAAATTTATCCCTAGGTATTTTTTGATGCAATTGTAAGTGGGATTGTTTTCTTAGTTTCTGTTTCTGATAGTTCCTTATTCGTTTATAACAATACAACTGATTTCTGGATATTTATTTTGTATCTTGCTACTTTACTGAATTCATTGATCAGTTCTAGTAGTTTTTTGGTGGAATCTTTATTGTTCTCTATATACAGTATCATGTCTTCTGCAAATGATGAGTTTAACTTCTTTCCCATTTGGATGCTTTTTATTTCTTCTTCTTGTCTGATTGCTGTGTCTAGGACTTTCAGTACAATGCTGAAAAAGAGTAGTGAAAGGAGACATTCCTCTCTTGTTCCCGATCTTAAAGGAAACACTTTTAATTCTTACTCATTGAGTATGATGTTGGCTATGGGTTTTTCATATATGGCTTTTATTATGTTGAGGTATGTTACCTGTATTACTACTTTATTCAGAGTTTTTATCATAAATGGTGCCGCATTTTATCAAATGCTTTTACTGCATC